TGACGTATGTAAGCATAAGTTGCAGAAAATGTCTGTCATGTTTGTGGTTGAAATAAGTCCCAGGAGGAGAAAACACTGCACAGAGGGACAGCCGACAGCACAGTGTGACGTGGGACATGCGACGAGAGAAGTGGAATGACGTATGTAAGCATAAGTTGCAGAAAATGCCTGTCATGTTTGTGGTAGTCGGACCAGGACAGCAGGGTGATGGCTGTTTTTCATTATTTTTCAGATATAATGACATAAAATGAAATTACTTCATAATGAAAAATAATCTTACAAAAACAGAGGAACATGTACAGCAGGAGACAGAATGGGCTGAGCTCTGAGAGAGCATCTGGGCCTTGGCTCAGAGCAGGAGGCCAAGGCCCAGCTCTTAGAACACTTCCCCTAGCCCTTACGAAACCCAGTGGATGGGCATGGGATACGGGGGCTGAGGACCCAGAGCCAGCTGCTGTTTGAGAAGGAGGTGGGTGGGCTTGCAGTCCTCAGTTCCACCCAGCTGGGCCGCGAGTAGCCCGTGGCATTAGCATAGGTAAGAACGTGATCTGAGGGTTCTTCCACTACAAGCCAGTGCGTGGTTAGGAATGGACAGCCACCCTGAGCTCCCCCTCAGCATGCCGGCCACTATGGCTAAGCACGTGGAAGAGCCTCAGCCTAGGCCAGTCCCCACCTGGTGAATGAGGCTCAAATGCAGACCTCCAAGGCCACAGCAACCACTACCGACCATCCTTGTTTGAGTTGGGGCAGCTGAGGAACAGAGAAGTTCCATAACTTGCCGAATACAAGATTGTTGGAAAAGTCATGACACATTTTTGCATAGAAAAATATGTCAACAACCCAATAGATGTATTTTCAGTTTATGGCAGCAACCATGACCTTTGGAATTCAAATCTGGGGCTCTTTAAAAGTCTCTCTGGACAGGAAATGCCAAACTCTTGTGTCCGTGGACAGGATCGATGGCAAGGCAGCGACACCCATGCCACATTTGTCCCAGCACAGCTTACCTTTTGGGTAGGGAATTAATACACTGTCTGCATTGTGCTTTGCCTGTCATATGCACACCTTCACGTATACCCCTGTGTGCACACGCATGCGCGCACACACACACACACATAGACATGTACATGGTCCAGTCACCCTCTCCCTCTTTTCCATGGAAGACTGTATTGATCAATTGATGTAAACTGTAAATACCTTTTCTCCTCGAATTCCCTTTTCACCCCGTTCTCCTTGGAGACCCTGGTGGAAACAGAAGAGGCAGTGACATCACAGCCCAGTCTAGCTTCTTTGTGCTTTCCCTCTTCGGCCCATGGAGAGACTGCCAGGAAGCTCTGTCCGAGAGCAGAGGGGCTCACTCATACCCCCAGGCCAAGCCACTTCCAGGGGAATACAGGAACCCCTGCATCTGGTCCCCTGGCCTGGCCATCCAGACCTCATGGCCACAGGTTGGGACATATCCTGGCTTCTGTATTCAACTGGTCACTGGCTGAAATGTGGCCCGAAGTTTTTCACTAGTGCCACCTGGCATCTGCTATTCAGTCATGATTGTGGATTCCAGGAAGGAGACTGAACACTGAACCAAGATCTGGGATCACTTTACATCACATCCCTCCACTCCCACCGGGTCACTGCCCTGTCCCTGAATCCACTCAAACAGGCGCACTGCTATAAACGTCTCCCTCTTTATGCTCAGACTCCATAAAACACCAGCCAGGATGAGGCGTCTCTGAGCACACCATCTCAAATACAATGACCCTACCTCACTCCCATTTCTGCCATCACTCTCTGGCTTCTAAACTACTCTTACTAAGGAGCACAGGGGCTCCCCAGGCAGGGCCTCCAGGTGTGGCCAGCAGTTCAGAGCAGGGTCTTGTCAAATGTGTAAATGTGTCTAGTGGAATACGTGAACTCCCTGTGTGGTTGCCCCCTCTCCCTCCTCTCCTTTGTAGAAGGGTCCCTTGGAGCTCTGTGGAAAGGACGTTAAAGACAGTAGATACTGCCTGCAACTACTCGTTACTTACAGAAACAGCACAGTTGTCTTCAGCCTAGAGAACACAGGGCCAAAGCCACACAAAGCTGTCCTGAAGGGCAAAGCTCTGCAAGCCCACTCTGGCCGTGGATGCCCGCGCCATTTTAATTCCCTCCAAATACTTTGCTTAGACATAGATCAGAAGTCTCCAATGCTCTTGAGGCAGTGCATGCTGCTTTGAAAATGACCTTTCACACTGCTTCTTTCCTTTGGGGATAATCTCAGATCTTTCTTATGAACAGAGTTAGATGCCCAAGAAGGCCCTTTGCTCCCGACATGCCTCATGGATTTGCTTACCCCTTCATGAACTAGAAACACTGAAACTGTTTATGCCTGGCTTGCTCTAGGGCAGGGACATTCATGGCAATCCACCTGCTCCCGGGAGTGGAGGACTGGCCAGGTTGGTTACACTGGCTCCTTTAGACCAAAAGTTGGTGCTGTTGTAGAATGCAGATTCCTGAGCTCTTTCCTGCTGTGTCATCTGGAAATGGGTCCCCAGGAACGTGCACTCAAACCTGTCCATCAGGTGAAAATGAAGTGCCATGTACTTAAAAATTTCATCTAAGAGAAGAGAGCCCACACCAGCATCGGGACGTGCAAACCAGGTCCTGGTCGTGCAGGAGCAGGCAGAGGGCCTGCCAGGGAGCCTGGCTCCTGATTCTCCGGGAGGAAACTCCTTCCAGACCAGCGCCTTTACTTACAGGAGCACCAACGTGTCCAGGAGGTCCGGGGAGTCCAGGTGGTCCTTGGGGGCCCTGCAGAAGAGTGTTCACAAATGAAAGGTTTCAGGGTGGGAATGAAAGGAAGGAGCTGGAGCGCCGCTCAGTCAGTAGTTGTGCTTGGCAGTGAGACCCACTGCTGTCTCCTGTTCACGCCAAGTCTCAGAGTGGATAACCCCTGGCCCTAGCTTCCCCTCCTCAGTTTGGAGCCCATGCCATCTGCTGCCTGGAGGAATGGGTGGATTCACACCTAGATCCACTCGACTTCAAAGGACACAAAGCAGTGTGGTTCTGAACACTCCTGAGGCCAGACCTTTAATTCCTATTCCCCCTTGCCCTGGGTCGTTGGCTCTCCTGTAATCTGCCCTGGGTACAGCCACAGCTTCTGAAACAGCATGGCTGAATCCTGTGCTTGGTCACAAGGTTGGTGCAGCCTGAATGGGGCCTAACGAAGAGCCCAGCCAAAGCCTGCAAAGCCCAGAGCTTCTTCATGACCCAGACCACAAATCGCTATAGACCTTGAGCAACTAAAGAGGAGATAACCAAGTCTGCTAGGGTGAGAATGTGCACTTTCTTGGCCAAAGGCATCTCATCTCTTATAGCCTGTCCTCCTGCAACGACATTATTATCCACAAGGAAAAGCACACGCATATGTGTGCACACACACGGGCAAATGAGGTTTCAAGAAGCTCATGACAAAATGAAATTAATGTATGAGTTTATTTTGGTATAAAAAATGTTGAAATCTGTGCAGAATTTTTGTATCATTTCTAATATTAAGTTTTCACAATATGCATTTTTCCTTGAACTTTTCAAAGACTCCTCATTTGAATACATATTACTGTTTGACTGAAAAGCAAATGAATCCAGAAATAACCCCCAAACATACAACCAACTGATGTCTGACGAAGGGCACACGACAACCCAGCAGGGAAAAGAAAATCTCGTTAGTACATGGTGCAGACAACCTGAACACTCACCTGCAGAAAAGTGAAACTGGACCCCCATCTCTCACCTCTAACAATAATCCACTCAAAATGGATCAAAGATCTAAACATAAAACTTCAAATGATAAAACTACTGGCGGAAAACACAGGGGAGACTAGGAGACACTGGAGTAGGCAAAGACATCATAAATAAGACTCCCAAGGCACAGGCTATAATCCCCAAAATAGACAAGTGGGACTACATCAGGCCTAAAAGATTTGCACAGCAAAATAAACAATAATTAGAGTGAAGAGACAGCCCTCAGAATGGAAAAGTATATTTGCATATCAGATGAGGGACTGATAACCAGAATATACAGGGAACTCAAGCAGCTTACCCGCAAAAAAATAAATGATCCAACTAAAAAGTAGGCAAATGAGCTGAACAGATAACTCTCTAGGAAAGACACACAAAAGAGCAAAGAGCATATGAAAAAATGCTCAATATCCCTTCAGCCACATCTCTAGATACGGCAACGAGGCACCACTTTACCTTCACCTCAGTCAGAATGGCTATGATTAAAAAAAAAAAAAAAAGATAAGAGCTGGTGAGGCGAGGCCATGGTGGAACAGGAGCCCTCCTACACGGTTGGAGGAAAACACTCAGTTGGAAAAGTACGTGTACATCCAGGGTTACTGCAGCATTATTCACGATTGCTAAGACGGAATTAGCCCAAATGCTCAAAAGCAGATGAACGGATTGGAAAAAAGTGGCAGATACATGCTATGGAATAGTACTGAGCCATAAAGAACAACGGACCCCTGACATTTGATACAAAATGGAGCAGCATGGAAAGTTTAACGCAAAGTGGAGCAAGTCAGATGTGAAAGACGGGCATGGCACGTCCTCGCTTACTGTACACCACGCACCTGCATTCTGTGGCAGGAACTGAAAGGCTGGGTGGGGTAATAGCAGGGAGGCCAACTGCAGATACTAGAAACAGTACAGGAGGGAGTAGGTAACGGGGTGGGGAATCACTGAACAGAAACAAAACCGGAAAGTTTTCTGTTGATTATGTGCATGGTAACATCTATGACTTGACTGATATGCACTGTATTCACACTAGAAAAAACATTTTCAACGGTGTAAAGATGTATAATGATTAAATGTAAATAAACATATATTTTTAAAATGAAAAACAAATGTGAAAACAAGTAAAATTAGAAATAACCTTCAGAGGACCAGCAGATGGCGTAATGGTTATATCGTTGGACTCCCACATAGTCAACTGTGGTCCAAGTCCCAGACCTGGCAGCTTATTTTCTCATTTTTCCATCTCTCTCTCTCACTCTGTTCCTCTCTGGTCAAATTTAAATAAATACAGTTAAATAAAAATTTTTTTTTTTGGAGAGGTTTTTGCTATAGGGCATGTGCGCTCGCCAGACAGACAGAGAGAGACATAAAGACAGAAAGCACAGAAAGCGAGAAATCACCCCCCAGGGGGGATGGTCACGCTGCAATCCCTTCTCCTACATTCTCCTCTCTCGGGATCTTGGGCACGCACGCACACGCACCCAGCGTGAGTTGTAAGCCACCGGGTCTGGGATGCGAACCGCGGTCGACTACGTGGGAGTTCAGCAACATAGCCATTACACTAACTGCTGGTTCCCAATAAAATAAGTCTTTATTATAACCTTCAGGACCATAAATAGAAGGAAAGTTATATAAATTACAGGCACCCCTGTCATGGAATGCCGTGTGTAGACTAAGATAATGGGCAGGGCCTGGCATCTGGACGTGCAAAGATGTCTCTGCTCTCGTTACATGAAAAAGATAAATGACCAAGTATGTTTGACCCATTTTTACGAGAACTGAGGAAGCTTCATGTCTTGTGCGCAGACACATGCCAACGTGCACACAGCTATGGCAGACGAAGCCAGGCACCTGTAAGATCTGCTCTACCCTAAACATGGGTTTTGAGCCAGGACAAGAGACCTGGGGACGTGAGGCGAGTGTGGCTCACAATGGCACTTACCCGCATGCCCACCTCACCAGGCAGCCCCGGTTCGCCCAGCTCTCCTGGCTCCCCCTGCACACACAAAACAGCACAAGGTCAGCCTGGCAGGAGCACCAGCCCCAAATCTCCAGGAACCCCTTCCCTGCACCCTAGAACTCATCACAGAAACAAGGCAGGCACAGTGGCCAGGAGCCAAGGCTCCCTGGAAACTCCTTCTACAAGCAGAGGAGCCAAGCTTCACTACACACAGAATTAGTTCAACCCCACTCATTTCTGCCGACAAGATTAAATGTGTGCAGAGCTGGGACGAAGCACAGCGACTGGGGTGTGATGCCGCTGTCTTCATGGAGAAGATGTTGGCAACCTGGATGGGAGGGTTCTCTCTCTCTCTCTCCTGGACCCCAGGACCTCGGATCCCTGTTCATAAATGTACAGGTGCTCACAAGTCATGGTCCTGCTATGAGACTTGATCATACATGGCTGACGAAGGAAAGGGAACAGAGGCGGAGGACCCAGGACCGATGTCTCTTTGGGTTCTCAGTGGAGGAGAACGCCCCTCCTTCCCCAAGGCGGACTGACCACTTGAGCTGAGACGACTTTTGGCTGCTCTGGTTTCTGGAGCCAGTCCCAGATGGGAGGCAGGTGGGAAGAAGAGGACCGGAGCAGAGCTGGCTGGCTTGCCGGGCAAGTACTACGTGGGCCTCATACTGACTCCCTTAGTTATGAAGCAGGGACTCGGGGACATCCCTGCCTCACTGGAGCCAGTTCCAAGGCTAGGATTTGGGAATAATAAGACCCCCTTTGTAGGGCTGCTTGTCAACCAAGTGCAAAAATATCTCCCAAGGACATACAGTAATGCCCAGGGTGCAATGGCTACTGGTGCTTTTGTCACTATCTGGCCCAACTGCAAAGGTCTGGGAAGATCGTCGCGTAAAGGGCCCCCTGCTCAGGCCTGACCACTGTGCTCGAGGACACAGGAGGTCTGGTCAGGGCCGCCAGCGAGCAGGCATAGGACTTACTCTCACGCCTTTGCTGCCGTCTCTCCCAGGCAGGCCTGGTGGGCCCATGGAACCCTAGGACAAAAAGAAGAACAATTAACAAAGGATGAGGACAATGACACTGAGACAGGCTCTCGGAATGCTGGCGAAGTGCAGAAAGTGTCCAGCAGGAAGCAACAGTCAAGACTATGCTTCTCAAAAGGCGATCCACCCACCTGCAGTCTGGGCATCCCCTGGGAGGGTGTGAGAAATGCAGGCTGCAGGCTTCAGTCTTGGCCTCTAGCCCAGGGTTCCCCAGTGATCTCTGTGAACCTGACAGTGTGGGTGAGAAGCTCTGGTCCACAGCCCTCGCCAGCTCGGGGCCGGGCCCTTCCTCGCCCTGGGAGGAAGTAACGCAGAGGGTCGGGCTGGAGCAGTTCTCAGCTTTGGCAGCTCAGACCTTGTGCTAGAAAGTCTGTGCTGTGGGCATGCTGTGCCCGGGGGAGGCTTAGCAGCACCCTCAGATGCCAGGAGCACCCCCAGTGTGCCACCCAAAGTGTCACCAGGTATGTCTGCTGGAAGGCAAAATCACACCGAGCTGAAAACAGGTATCTATTTCTTTTTAAGCTAAGACGAACTTTATTCTAATAAGTCTCCTGCAGACATATGTGACAAGCCAACACATGGAGCGGCTGAGGGGGCAAATGGGGACCTGGACTCGCTCATCCCCATTCCTCCTCTACACGCTTCCTCAGGGAGAGCTTGGGGGCTCTTCCACAAAGAACTCCAGAATTTCTTAACTCCTTCCAGCACCAACACCTGTTTTGTTGTTGTTGTTCTTTTTTTTTTTTTTTTTTTTGCCAGGGGGGTTATGTGACCCCCGAGAGAGAGGG